TTAGGTGCACGAGCTGGTGATGAAACTTAAGCGCTGCTTAGACAAGCTGTAGCACCGTTAGGGGTGTAGAAGGGGGAGGGGGGAGATGGGGCTTAGCCAATGCCCACAGCGATCTGCTGATTGGCCAAGAAGTGTTGATGGCGCATTTTTTCTGTTGGAGGCGGCAAAGAAATGCGCGACAGACAGTTAAGAGGTGGCACGAACGGCGGCAGCTGTTCCAAGTATCAATATTTCATGTCTTGGCCCCGAGGCACAGGCAAAGTTCGTTGATTAATGGACCTCGCCTAAGCCGTCGGCGTATTTTCTTTATTGTGTGTTGACAAAAGCTAATTTACCATTTATTGCAAAACACTTTTTTAGTTACTTTGTTATCGAGCAACACTTTTGGACTGAAGTCAAAGGAAGTAGACGACTTGCGAATACTCTACAAAAAGAATTGGTCTCATTTGTGTCTGTTGGGGAAACACAGATGACATAGCATGGCCCAAATGGCATAGATTTTGAAAATCAGTTTAGTTTTGATCAGGTTATGATAGTACGAGTTCTAGAAAGATCAATTACTATGACATTGCAAAGCTTATCTGTAAAAATGCTGATCATGTTTAGCAAAAAACTCGATGGCAAAATAGATTATCTCAGAAGATCTTTTTATGTTGCATTTTATAAATGCTTTGACCGACCCAAGATAAAAAATAAAGACAGATGCGCTGTCGCCAACAAAGTGTATGCCGCAGGGATAAACGAGTAAGAGTCGGCGTTGGTTTTGCCAGTTTTGTCGTCTTTTTCTTCTTCTTATAATTCTCAAGTGGTTATGGCTTCGGATTAAGCGGAAGGGCTTGCTTATTTAAAATGGCAGATTCCCAATTTAACGTTATTTTTATTTATAGTTATACTGAATAATAAGCGTCTATTTCGATATGGTTAAGATATTTAAAAAAAAAAAGAGAAAAAATGTTCATACAAAACATTTTTGTTAAGTATAAACCTATGTAAAAATTTAGATATATTAACATATTTGGACTATTTTTTATCTAAGCAATTAAAATTGTAAGAAATTTAGTAAGATTTGGAAGCAGCAAAATTCGCTTTTAATTTTTTTCTACTTGAATTTACATAAATCTGCAAAATTTAACCAAATTAGTTCAGTTGAATTAACTCGCTCGCTCACACACACACACACACACACGGGCGCACTCACACACACAGACACGCGGGCACACTCACTCACACACACACACACACACTCACAGGCACAAGCACAGCATGTAGCAAATCTCAACAGTTGAACTAGGAGTAAAATTCATCATACGCCGCATTGGCCGCAGTCGACGTCGACGTCGCTGCCCAATGGCGGTTGCTGTCGGCGCGGCATGCGTGGCATGTGGCTGCGGTATGTGGAGCATTTTGAGGGCAAGGGGGCGTGAGACGGCAGCACACAGCATGCCACCGACGACAGTTGAGTTACAGAGTTCGTTGTTGTTGTTGTTCGAGTTGTTGTTTTTGTTGTTGTTGCTGCTGCCTTTTTTTGTGCACAATTGGCGTTGTGGCCGGGCGCGTTACATTTGGGGCGATTTATTGTTGGAAATATTTTGTATGCTGCTTATTGAAATGCAGGCAAGGCCCGAGAAAAACCCCTTTGGCTAGCCACACCCCCCGCCCCAAAAGACAACACAACAGCAATAACAAACAGCAGCAGCGGCAGCGGCAGCAGGAGTTGCTGCTGGGCAAAGCAAATAGCGGCACTTGAAGCAGCCGCGTCTTGCAGTAAGAAGCACTGCACAACCCTAAAGTCTACCCCAGCCCCTGCCACAACCACTCCCCCCTCGAACCACATTCAGCACCCGCTGCTGTTGCCCTGCAGCGTGGAGCGCAGCAACGCCTCCTGCTGCCGCTTTTGGCAGCCACACTATAAATATAACATTAATTTTTATGTTTTCATATTTAGCAACGCTTCAGTAAACACACACACACACACACACGCACACACACATACACACTCGGAGAGCCAAGGCAGTCAGCCTTATTGCTGTAGTTTTAGATAGAGCTCATTGAATGACGTTTATGAGCGATATCGCTGACGCTGACTGCGCAGTTAATGCCGGCGTCGACGTTATGTGCGCAACATGCGCTGTTAGGGCCATTAACAGAGCTGTTAAGGGTCAGCATCCACGGCTGTTAGAGCTGGGCCGCTGCTGACGGCGACGCCGGCGTCGCTGTTTGTGCCTTCTTCTATTGTCATTTGGCACATGTGAAAATTTAGCGTTACTTCTTGGCCGGCGCTTCATTCATTCATTCGCTGTTTACATTCCGCTTTGTGCCCGTGCACATTTTTGTGGGTCTAACGGTTTTTGTCAATGTGCCCAATGTAATTTAAATTGCATTTACGGAATATATAACGGGAGCACAACATGTTGTTGTTGATGCTGTAGTTCAAGAAGAAGAAGAAGCAGTTAAAGGTGCTCAATGAAATATTTAAAATAAAACAAAAAGTGAATAAAACACGGAAAAAATACAAAAAGAAACATGAGAAAAACATTTTTAAAGAAATTTTTAAACAAATTAAATAGTTTGAATAACTCCCGATCAACTGATTACACAATTAAAATTTGTGCTAAATAAGTGAGGTTGTACAAAGCTTGCCCAAAAAGCATTTTAAAACATATAATTTTCGAAAATTTCTTAGCATTCTCTTGGTATCTACTCCATGGATCTATCTATGTATTATTAAAAAATAATTAATAGATTACTTTTGATCGTAAGAGATCGTTGACAACTTGTCGCATAAAGTGCATTACAATTAATAAAAAACTAAAAGAGCTAAGTTTAACAAAAATTAACAAAGATCGAAAGCAAAAAAAAATATATTATATGAAAATAACATAATAATACAAATGAAAATAATAATAATAATAATAATAATTATAATAATAATAATAATAATAATAATAATAATAATAATAATAATAATAATAATAATAATAATAATAATAATAATAATAATAATAATAATAATAATAATAATAATAATAATAATAATAATAATAATAATAATAATAATAATAATATTAATAATAATAATAATAATAAGAATAATGATAATAATAATAAGAATAATAATAATAATAATAATAATAATAATAATAATAATAATAATTATAATAAGAATAAGAATAATAATAATAATAATAATAATAAGAATAATAATAATAATAAAAATAATAAAAATAATAATAATATTATATTATTATTAATACATTTTTTATCCATAAAATACTTCTTCGTTTAAAACCCAACACAATATTCTTTTTAACTCCCATAAATGTTATAAGTAAAGAACACTTGAGTGTCTTCGCCTGCTGAAAAACATACTTAAGACCTCAAGAAGGTGTCTAAAAGATGTTTGAGGGGTTCAATAACACATTCCTATAAAGCATTTAGCTCACAATCTAGGCACTCAAATAACGGTATCGTTATAGGTAAAGCCCCTAACGAACCGACTTCCGCTCCCAGACAGACCTATAGTTCATGTATTTGCTTCGTGGGTTTACAAAAGCAATAACTAAATAAATAAACAAACCAGTTCGAGATTTCGATTTCCACTTTTACTTAAACAAAAGGCTTACGTGAGAAAATTTACAAATATTTCAATATTTATAAACTATTAAGTAATATAAACTAATTTGCATAATTTAAGCTGAGATAATGTCACAAATCAAGGTTAGAACCAAGAGCTGGGGGTTTGAACCACTACAACAAATCAAACTTTTATTTTATTGCCATATCTCTTTGATGGTTATCAATCTGTTAGTAGATAGATGTTATAGGGCAGATAAACCTCAACAAAGCCTCAAACAAAGACTGGGCCACTCGACCAACGGTAACGGTGGGGTGGGGGCGGACAAATTAAACACACGTCCACAGCGATAAACTGCAGTTAAGTGTTGAATAGAGGGAGGGGTGGGGGGCTGGTGGGTGGTTGCAGAGGCTCATTAATATTGTTGAACGCGATTTGGCAGCGATTTTTAACGCCTGCAATTAGAAACGCCAGCAAATTGAAAACTAAACAGTGACGGCTGCGACTAAGTGATAAAGGGGATGGGTAAGGAAAGGGGCGAGGTGGATAGAAGGGCGATGGAGGGGTGGTCTGTCAACGGCAAACACGCAGTTTCATTGCGGGTGCTTGAAAAATGATTTACACACGCAAATCATAAATTATGCAGTTCAAGTGGATGACAAATCCAGATGTGGATGAGACCCGCAGAGGCGAGAATTTGGCTATATCATCTGTAATAATCGGTGGGGTCAGTCCAGTTGACCTGCCTCCAGCTGCAATTTCTCGCACCTGGCCAGCGGAGGTACTTATCACTCTTATCGGCCGACGTCACATTTCAGTCTTTCAGTTCAATTGGCTCAATTTGAAGCCAACAAATGCTAATAATTTCCGAAAACCAATTCAGTTCGCGTCGGTTATTGCTGGGCATCGCACCGCCAAGTATCTGTTCGGGAATTCACGGCTAAAGCTGCTAATATCTTAACTCTTCACTTATCATAGCTGACGTCTTTCCGTTTCGCATTTAATTAAAAATTATTTTGCAAATTCGATAAAACGAAAGTGGATAGATATTTCTATATATGTATATAAACTCGAGCTATTCTTAAACAATGCATTTTTGTGTTTTTCTGAAATTAATTTTTGTAGTGCTTTGTTGTGGCCAAGGTTAGTATTTCGTATAAAAGATCACGCGATCGTGCAGGTTATTGACTTTAAGGTACTTCAGAAACTCTGGAGGGATTGTGCGCAGTATAAATTATGGGCTGATAGTTCGATTACTTATAGATACGATATGTGATAAGTTCCTCGCGTAATCCACATACTATTAAAAATATATATCAAGTATTATCATTAGCTAAAGAACTTTCTAGCATATTCTTGCAATTTACAATCTGTCGACATTTTTGATGAAAGAAAGAATGAAAGAAAGAATGAAAGAATTACTTACATGCCGCATTTATTCACTAAGAAAGTTTAATTGTATTTCTTCAGAACATCCAATAAATAAGTTGAATTTTTATGTGTAATACGAATCAACTATAATTAAAAAATATAAGAAAATATTTTTTTTTTTTATTTAACAATATTTAATTATTATTCGAATAGTTTACAATATTCTTAAATATTATATTATATTATATATTTGTATATTTTAAAGAATTCCATCCCATCATTATCATCCTCAACTATTAGGCAATATTTTTAAATATTATATTATATTATATATTTGTATATTTTAAAGAATTCCATCCCATCATTATCATCCTCAACTATTAGGCAATATTTTTGTAAGGCATATCTTTCTCTCTCTCCTTCGTTTCGACCATTCACAATTAAGTAATCAACACTTTATTCACAATTTGATAAGCACGACAAGTGTGTCCAGCTGCAGCTATAAATAAATTCTCTTTTTTCCACATAACAAAAATAGGTGAATATTTCTAAAGCAGGCCTGTTGAAATTAACATGAATTTCTTTATTTATAAGAACAAATTGATGATAGCACAAAAGCCCAACCTCTTCATTTTTCCCACGCTCTTCTTGCGGTTCATTAGCTTATCAGCAACGATCCGCTCCCGTTGCAGCCTCACAGATAACTAATGCGACCGAATCGTTCGTGCAGGCTCGAACTCACCATGCTCAGCAAAGCTCACCACGCTTGAAAGAGCTGCAGATGGAAATGATCTGTGAAGAGCAAACGAAAGCATCACCGAAGAGAAGACGGCAGCTATAGAATTTGGCGACAGCTATCGCGTGCTCTTACACATACATGAATGAAGCAAATACCTTTCGTTGAGTTCAGGTTCGATTCTTGGCGCTGTGATAAGCCGTTTTGAAGGTAGCGCAAAAAAAATCAACGAGAAAGAGCGGCTTTCTAACGCAAGCCGAAGAGTAAATACTCTTGGCTATCGATTTTGTATATATATGGGGAAAATAGTGAGGTTCGCAATTGTTTTGTATGATAAAGGTATTTTACAAAACCGAACATTTTTTCATAGCCGATTCTTCCAATCGAGCTATATGCTCTTGAGTTTGTTAACCTATGGTACATATGCCTGTATATTATATAGTGAATCAATCCGGCCGATTCCAACATGTATACGGATACTGACTAAGAGTATATTTGTATGTAAGCGTTACACTTTGCGTGACGAAATTATAATACCCTTACGCAAGGGTATACAAACTGAGCAACTAGCAGACAGCATGCGCAGCGCGCTCGCAAACAGGTGGGCTGTTGTGGGGCGGGCTGTTGGAGGGGGGTGGGTCCATTTTTATTGGATGACAATCCGCTTAAATGTGCTGGCGAATTCTCAAGGCGCATTCAGTTGAAAAACGCGCGTTGTATGAGGCGGCTGCGTTTTTTGCGACCACTTAAGCTAATAGACAACAGACGCAAATAGAGCTCGCATAACTAAGTGTAAATATAGCAACAACTACAACAAAAACAAGAACAACAGCAACGAGAATAAAAACAACTACAGCACGTGCCAAAGAAAATTCGGCAATGCGCGCGCCTTGAAAGTTGATTTCTTACAAAACTTTGATAAGCCGAACGACGCGTTTTTTTCTTAACTGTTTGCGTTTTTATCACCGGTTAAAAACGCGTGCCAAAAATAATAAATAAAAAATAGAAAAAAAACTTGTCAAGTTTTTAATTAATTAAAATGCGATAAATTTTAGAAATTCGCTTAGTTCCTTAGCCAGACGCCCCCCTGCCCCCTCCCGCATACATATCTGTCCAATCTCCGCACTCTTCGCTTCATTTGTATAAATTTGCTACGTCAACAGAAATTTTGGTATTTTTGTTTTCACCTTCTCTTCTGTTGTTTCAATTTACGTTTTGTGTTAATCGTTTGCTTTGCCTTTGCGTGCGTATCGTATGATTTTTTTTTCTTAACCAGTTTCGATGATCTTTTTCGGCATTTCGGCATTGGACGCGATAGCTGCGCGTTTTAAGACGCGCGCGTTTGTGTGAGCGTGTGTGTGCGCGTGTGCGGCATATGTGTGTGTGTGTGAGTGTTGCATATTTATTTTGGCAACAATTTTCAATGTTGCGCGATTTTTCTTTTTGTCTATTGACTATTGCAAATCAGCGCAGTCGCGTCGTCTGACTGATTAGATAATGCCAGCAGACCCGTCATTGCTTCCTGCTGGCGTTTATAAACGCCTGATTTTCTGTTCCCATATAGGCTCTTTTGCATATTGTGGGGCACCCCTAGAAATTCAATCAAAGTGCACAAACTAAAGCAAACTAATAGAGAAATTGAGTATTGAGAAACTGAGTGACCGAAATATTGAGCAATTGCAGAACTGAGAGAGAAACCACAAGTGCATAAACTAGGCAAAGTTCATACCATGGCCATAGAGTTACGCTCTACGAGCACTCTAAGTGATAGCACAACAGCAGCAACAACAGCAACAACTGCAACAGCTGCATCAACTACAACAACAACAACAACAGCAACTGGCTGCAACAACTACAACAACAACAAGAACAACAACAAGAACAACAACTGCCAGCGTCGCGCCCAACAGCTGTTGAGCTGCATCTGCACCAATGCGAATCTCGTGCTGTTCACATTGATGTTAACTCTAGGCAAATGTTGCACAGCCACGCCCATCGCCACAAGCGCGCCCAGCTTAACGCATAATGAACACCAACTGCTGCCGTCGGCAGATGGCGCCACACTCACCAAACATCTCGATGGCAAAAGCATCCTAAACATGGGCTTCAAGTTCCTCAACGTATCTGGCAAAATCGGCACACCGCTGGGCATAGGTGAGAGACACAGGCTAATAGCAAATGAATAGTGGATGGGGGGGGGGGGGCTGATGGGGGAGATGGGGGTGCACAGTTTGTTTTTAGCCAGACTGTGCTAATTTTAGATCGCATTGAAGAGATGTAGTTCGTAGTGCAAGGCTCAGCTTAGCAAACTAGCTGATGCGCTGCATTTGCCAAATTCATAAAAATGTAAAAATATTAAAATATCTTTTTAAAAATAGGAAATGCTCTTAAATTATTGATAGTTATATTATTGTTATTATTTTTATTTTTATTAATTAGTTATTAATACTTTTATAAGTATTTATATCAGCATAAAAGGCAACAGTCTTAAGTTTTCGTACCCTTGTGGAGGGTAGTATAATTTTCTCATGAAATGTGTATATATTTTATCGATCAGCAGCCATAGCCGATCTGATATAGACATGTCCGTCTGTCCCTCCCTCTGTCCATCCGTTTACCCGTTCGTCTGTTTTAATGCGAACTAGTCTCTTAGGCGATTGTCTTGAAACTTCGCATAGGTCTGTCTTTCTGTTCCAGGCAGTACATGAGCCGGAACCGGCCGGATCGGACCCCTATATCATGTAACTGCCATAGAAACGGCCAGTTAAATGATAGATGCTTATATGGAAAGCTTTTTTGCTTATCAATATATCTTTACCAAGCTAGGCATTAATCATCATATATGTACCAAATCTGATTAACATCGAACTAATATATCATATATGTAGGTGTAATCGGAATCATCAGGCGAAAAGTAGGTTCTTTTTACGAGCTACAATATTCTTACCTCGTTTTTCTTCCTTTTAATATACGAAATGTATTTCTAATTGAATAATGTTATAAAATATATTTGGGATTAACAGTGCAATAGTTCAATTAACAGTCCATTATACTAGAATATACCATATATCAACAAGCAGAGAAAATTTAATCACCTAAAATTTAACAGATTTTATATGCAAAAACAATTTCAACTTTTGCCAATTTAAAATTCGAACACGTTGGTTTTATTTTCATTGAGAACTTTTGTTTATCCAAACTTTTATTGTGACTTCCGGAATTCGCATTGGCTTTGGCGTTCGTATATAGACTGTCTATCTGTAGAATGAGCTTGATAAGGAAGAACTTCGCATTGCGTCGCGTCTTTATGGCCCTGGCTATTGCCTTGGGGTATTCCGAGTCGTAAATTTCTTTAAATCAAGCCAGCTGCTCGTCAGGGGATTTGGTCTATTAAGATTATCTTATCGCAAATTTTATTTGTTATTGTTTTTTTTTTTTTATTGGCATTTTTCGCAGGGATTTAGCAATTGAATTTTTAAATGAATTGATATTGTAGAAGGTCGTGGGAATATTTTTGTTATGCGTTTAGTTTTGCTTTGAAATGGATTTGAAATATATTGAAAAACTATTTTTAATCTTAAATCTATTTACGGAGCTTTGTTATGGATATTTATCTCAATAGTTAAAAAAATGGTGTTATTTTGAAAAGGATTTATACAATTCTTCTTAATATATGATTTTTTTAAATATATAATAGAATTGTTAACTGCATAAAATTTTGCTGGCTTATTTTAAGTCTACAGTTTCTTTTTTTTTTAGATATTAGTGAAATTTTGAATCGACTTTTAACTTTTCTTGGGAATTCGGTTATTTTTTTTTAAATATAAATCTATCTTTTATTTATTATTTTTTTTAAACGAAAAAAAGGAAACGTAGTTTTATTTTTAGCTTATAAAAAAGACATATATAAAAAAATAAAATTTGTACTTTGTCACTTGCATTTTGGACTTTAGTCCAATTCTTTGCAAATCGTAAATAAAATTCTTGACATATATCCAAATGGCGCATTTTGGCGTTGTTTATCTGCCCGAGGCGCCAGAACCTACGTAGGTGGAAACCAAAAAAAAACAAAAATAAAAACAAAAGTCCATTATTGACGTAGACGAAGAGCATATAAATGGGTCATGTAGTCTGTTTGAAGTGCATGCCCATTTATTGCAGTGTATTTCAAATGCCAAGAATAACATATTGCAGATATGTATGTGTATGTTCATGTGTATATATGTAGCTAAATATACCCATAGACGAGCCCCCTCAAGCGCATATTTTTATGGCACTCGGCTGTAAGCTATTTAAGTTCTTTACAAATTTCATTTAATATTTTGCATTGCCTGCTAATTAATTACATATTCCATTTTGTGTGGCAATTTCTTTGTTGATATGTTATTTTATTTTTTTTCTGACATACAACAGCCTGTTAAGTCTCTGTCAGATCCAACAGCCTGTTAAGTCTCTGTCAGATCCAAGTCACATAGCATTAACATGGGCCGCTGCAAGGTCGCCATAGCATACAGTTGTTATTTTTTATATATACACTATATGTAAAGTGTATACATTTTTGTATACTCTTGTGGAGGGTATTATAATTTTGTTATGAATTATGTAACGCATAGAAGAAGACATCTTCAAAGCCATTAAGTATATATATTCTAGATCAGCTGAGATTATATAGCCATGTCCGTCTCTTCGTTCGTCCGTTCGTCTGTCCTTGCATAGGTGGGACACACCTGCACATCCATTGCAGGTACAGCATTACGCTATGTCCCCCTTCCCTTTCATTGTGTATATCCCATCATTGTAAATATCCATCTATGTTAATGTGCGGAAAACTTTTTTGAGCATCAAGATATCTTGACCAAACTCTGCATTTAATAGTTTCCTTAGGCTCCTGGTAAGATCTTAACAACATCGGACCACTATAACATATAGCCATAGGAATCATCGGTCGAAAAGTGGCAAAATATTCTGTTTTCGAAGATATTTTCATCAAACACAGCATTTACGACCTTCACTATTCTCGCATGTCTGCCAGTGGCAAATGTCTACAAGGGTATTAAATCTTCGGTGTGCCGAAAATAACCGTATATTCTCCTCTTTTTTATATATATATTTTTCTTTTAATTTGTTGCCTCAGTTGTTTTTCATGGCATTTGATTTTGGTTTTAATTTATGCGCAGTGCCAACAGATTTTTTCTTAGTTCTAGTATATTCAACTAGTTGTATGCCAACAACAACAAAAACAACAACAATATATGATAAATGGTGGGCGTGTTCGATGTGCCCCCTCTTGTTATTGTTGTGGTTGTTGTTGTTGGACTTATATAAAGCAAGAACATGCGCTGTCGCCTTTAATTGTTTTGTTTTGCTGTGCA